TGTATAAATATAAATATATATAAATTTATCCCTCTGGTGCCCAGGTATAGAAATCATTGACAGAAAAATTTCATTTTCACAGAACATGTTCAAAAGGAAGTACAATAACCAAATTTGAAAGTTTCTTTCATCTAAAACTTGTATTAAAAAAGTTACAGACCGTGCCATAAATGGCACATTGGGCATTTGGTTATTATGTGCCAGATATGTCCACTGGGTAGCGTTGAACAAATGTATCATGTTTTTCTTGGGTGGAATTCTTCAAAACAGTTTCGCTCCTTGTTCAGACAGAGATGAACCATGCACTTCCTTACACATGATGTAGGTCTTTGAGTCACATCTGGGGCGTTTGCATCGTTGCCTGTCGGCATGGAGAGGAAGACGATCCATGCGATCGAGCTGTGTGTCAACAGTTGGGGACTTCTCTTGAGTGCTAGAGTGTGAGAGAAACTGAGGACTCCCAGCTACAGATCGTCCTGGCAACCTTTCGACGGTAACCTGACTGTCAGCAATCGACTGATGAAAGTCACATAGCTTGACTGGGGACTGCTGAAGCATCCTGCAATGACGACGATATCTCAGCCAACTGGTGACTACCACCATGTTGATTGTGTCGTAGAACAAATAAATGTACCAATTTCGAGTCTTGACTTTTGCTTTGCAGAGAGCGATGAGACAATCAAGTAAATCTACCCATCCCCAGTGTTTGTTGTACGTGCGAATTACAGCAGAGCAATTCACTGCAGTTTTTTCCTTCAGTCTTTTGTCCCACCCGGTAACATTCTCAACAGATTCTGGTCCAACATATGACGAAATGACATCCACTTTCTTGTTGTCGTACCATCAAACGACGACGATATTGGAGTCTGCATCCACTAGACTCTGCCGTCAACCTTTCAAGAGGTTTTCATGGACGGTTCCCACTTATTGCAGTCCTTTCTCCTTCAACTGTTTCACCATGTTAACGCTCGAAAAGTGGTTGTCGGCAAACATTTTGTAATTCTTTCCATCCTCCAAGTTCTTCACCATGTCCATGACAACATCCCCTCCCATGCCTAGTTCAGATCTACGAGTATGAGTAGGAACTCCATTTGAACCTTGATACACATCAAAGTCTTGCAGAGTGCCTTCACTTACGCAACAAGCCCACAACTTGAAACCTCATTTGTGGGGTATTTTCCGAATGCATTGTTTCAGACTACACCGACCTTTGAAAGATACCATAATTTCATGAACAAACTGATGCTTACACGGAATAATCTTTTTGAAATTGGATTTTAGATCATTGATCCACGGACGGAGTTTCCATACACGATCATTGCTTGTGCTGTCATCATGAGTCTCATTGCTGACAAAATACAATTGTTTCAAGAAAAAAAAATAAGTACCGGTAGTGTGTGTTTCACAGTTTGTACAAATACACTTGTATAGAGAAAAATAACTTAATGAACCCTTAGATACAGTCTAAAGACTGTTTACTGTATGTACTTACACTGAAATGAAGTCAATCTGCTTTTTTATTTTTCCAGTCAACTTGAACTTTTTGACATTTTACATTGAAACAGGACTATGTGATAAAAATCAGGACTCAAATGCCCAATGTTCCACATCTGGCATAAAAAGACGTCCAGGGCTGCCCAGTGTGCCATATTTAGACCATACCTAAAAACATCCCCATAAATCAAAATG